CGTACTATACAGTCTATGATTCAATTTTTTATGTACTGGGCATTTGCTTACAAACACAAAAGTACGAATTAAAATACAAAATCTTAAATTTAAGAACCCGTAAACATTAGCAGGCCTGCTGGCTGGTTAAACTGTTCTACTCAATGTACCAGCATACTGTATATTGCATGCATGCAGTGTTATTTATATAAAGGGCATTCGTACATATATCTAGTCAAATATGACAAGCACGTAAAATATGTAACTGTTTTTGTGATTTAAGGATTATAATAATTTATAATTAAATTAATCCAAATGATGTAGCATTTCAGACATGGTGACCGGACCCCGTTCATCCCCTACCCTAGCAGCCAATGGCAAGAGGATGCCTGGCCGGAGGGTCTCGGACAGTTAACACGGGTAAGCTGCTGATTTCCTCCAGGGGCATGTTTCACAATCTGAAGAGAGTTTTTAAGCTACATTTATTAGCCTACTAAAATCTAAACCTAGATAACATGTGCCATGCAATGTCCGCACAGTCCTCGTATTTTGACGGTAAATCCCTTTTCGTGCAGCGTCAGTGCAGAGGCAGACGGTGATCTTGTGAAATCGTACGGATTCACGACTTTCGAAGCTTCTACGATTTGTCAAGCTTACATTTCTTGATAAAATTATTAAAGCATTAGCCCTCAACCGTAGCTGTATCGTAGATGGCATCGCATTGTTCCCGCACGGGCATCGTTCGGTTGACTTGAAATGATTGTGATGCTGGTCCCTTTTCCTTTCACCTTTAGTGGTTTTAGGTGGCCCAAAAAAGTAAAGATGTTTAAATTTAGTGTAATGCACTTGCACGAACTTTAAATTGTGTGTTTCCTTACTCTGGCCACATGGTTGATAAAAAACGTAGTGGGCTGCACCGACAACGGATCGATCTTCAAGGGCGCCGCGCGGAAGACGAGCGGCAACTGCACTGAGACTGAATAGGCTCCGTACCATCATATTTCAACCGACAGACCGAATTTTCCCTTCGTAAACATGACCTCAAGATCATGTCGGAGAAATGGCACACACACACACAAAATAAAGAAATAAATAAATCATTTAAAAATAAATGACATACCATTGATTAGCATGTGTCTTTTTTAAATACCTGTAAAAACATTGTTTTGGGAATTATCGATAATATAATTTTAATTCTACCCAAATATAGTTAGAAGTTAATGTTACCATTTACGTCATAATATAACCTCATCTGGATTTGAGGCATTGATGCGGGTGCTACTCAAACACTACTCTATATTCCTCATAATTATGTGCGAGTACTTTTCTCTACATTAATATGCCATTATTTGTTGCAAGGCGCTGTATTTCATTGGTGTGCCATACAACACAAACTGCAATTGTCACGATGTTTTAGAGACCATTCCCACTGATATTTAGATCGATCTATCCCCCTGGGGAGTCTCACTAGGCTTAAGTGTCTGTCCCGCTTACTCAAAGGTAAAAGGGGGTAATTAACTTTAGTGCGCGCCCGGCTCCCGGAAGCTGACATCAATTTAGCGTGAACCCCCAGGGAGTTAGGTCGATCCAGTCTTACCCAGTCTTACACCCCATTTCCATAGATTAGATCGACCTACTTTAGATCGACCTAACTCCCTGGGGGTTCACGCTAAATAGCTGTCAGCCGGGCGGACACGAAAGTTAATTACCCCCTTAAAGCTTGTAGTAGGCGGGAAGGACATTTAAGTCGGATTATCTGAAAGTAATCTAGTGAGACTCCCCGCCGGGATAGATCGATCTAAAATCTATGGGAATAGAGCCTTAGTCACAGCATATGTTTTTGTTTCAGCTCGGCATGCGACAACAGTGTGAGCTAGGACAGTTCATCAGACGCAGATACGATGGGTTCCTTGACAAGTCTTACATAAGGACAGAGGTGAGTTATACCGAGCCAGTGTTGTCTTCTTTAACGTTGGTTACATTTATCACGCATGCTTGGGAAGATACTGTTGTCAGCAAGATAGTAAAAATCATTAGGTTTTGATGTATTATTGTTATTAGTTGTTGTTGCTTTTGCTCTCATTCTGAACCTAGCCTCTCACAAACAAAACTTTTTTTTTTTACTTAATTAATACACATACATGTCATTGAACACTAAAATTATGTTAAAATCTAGCTGTTTTTTCTTCATTTTGGTGACGGTTGTAGATGTATTTCCAGGAACTGTGTATTTCTTTATTTCTTTATTTTGTATACATGTACTGTTTACATATTTCATTTGTTCTGTTGAACGTTTTGAGTTCGCAACTAACTGTACTTTTAAAATTTCTGAAATTTACCACTTTGACATAACATTATCTGAAGCTCACGTCGTTATATTATGATTATGATTCTGATAGACTATGAGTTAGCTGTGATGTTAATAATATATCTGATATTGACCACATTGTGTCAGGTCAGTGTCCGGAGTACTGATACTGACCGGACAGTAATGAGTGCCCAGACTAACCTGGCCTGCCTGTTCCCGCTATCTGGACAACAACAGTGGCACGAGACGTTACCATGGCAACCTGTACCTGTGCATATACCAGTGAGTGACGTCCTTCTCTCTCTCTCTCTCTCTCTCTCTCTCTCACACACACACACACACACACACACACACACACACACACACACACACACACACACTAACACACAGGGGTGGATCCAGAGATATTTTTGACAGTCTTCCAAATTATCTTTTGTTGATCCATCCTCCTTTTTTGATCCTCTTCACGTCTTGTGGAAGACCCAGATAACGGCCTCCGTCCGCCTATGAACACTTACAAGTGTAACTCTTCCTGCTGGGACTTACTGTAATGATGCTCGTCGAAGTTGTACATGTAGGTCAGATATAGTTCCCTAACGGAAATTTACTGTGTGGGACGTCCTATAGAAAATTGGTTCAAAATTGTGTATGATATTTAGAATATTATGGACATTAATATATAGGTACATTATATATACTCGTATGCTTTTTTTTTCAAGCTGCTCCAAACATTCCCCAACTCTACTTTTGAGGGATGTCCTCGATACGAACTTCTCTTCAATGAGCTAATGCAATCAGAATTGGTGCAAGAGAAGGAAAAATTATACCAGGTATAATGATTCATGCAAATGCTTAAAGGAACATATTGTTGACAGACATGCATGTGTAAAGGTAAGGTGGTTAAGTTGTAAAAATTGGATGTCATACAGTCGAAGGTACTTTATTAATTTTTTTTAAATATAATCTTTTGGTGGACTTAATTGTTGTGTCTGTTTCATACATGCTTACCTTGCATTAAAACCATGGTCACTTTTATGAGCTTTCGTGTCTGTCAGTTTTTTTTAAGAAGATGGTCATTTACATGCAAGTTGGTAAAGAGTCATGCCTCTTACAACGAGGGCTTTTTAATTGTCCTTGAATGACTCCATCTACAATTAATTATGGGTAAATTCTAATTATTATTTAGTATTTAATCCAACAAACTCCCTTTTTTAATTCTAGGGATTTGTCTCGAAGGTTTCAAGTTTAGCTGGATATACAGATGCTAAGCTAGAAAATGTCTGGAACATGGAAGACCCATTGTTTTGTGAGGTACATATTCTTAAATGTGACGTTAAATACTGGAAGTTATCGTCCGTTAAGTCCAGATCAGTCTTGTCAGTCGGCTTAACTCTGTCATAATATGGGTCCATATTCTGGCCCTTTTTCATAATAACCCATTTTGATACTTATTAAGCATGGGATGTTCATTCAGTTGTCATAACATAAGTGGATGATGAAATTGTTCCACAGTTTTCATTTAGATGGTATGCTACAAATAACGTATTGAATATGTATTTGGACTGTATTATTTTCACTTGCTTTGCATTTGAGTTGCTATAAAATTGAACTTGCCCATTTTCCTATCTCCTTCTGCGTATGCAAATTGCAAACGCACACAAGGTTTGCCTGCGTACTCGAAACGTCTACGACTTAATGTAGTGAACCCCTTGCGTCTGTTGGCATATTAGCGATTTTTCTCATACGTGAGTGCTATAAGTTAGTATTATACGTTAAATCGTGTCTCCCCCGTCCTCGAAGAACAACCCCCTACACACACACACATTTCTTCCTCTGACTGTGCAACAATTCAATTTATGCCTTCATTTGAGTCCCAGCAAAACGACTCCATCAGGGCTCCGTAACTCGAAAGCATCGCGAATTGCGATAGCGATATCACCTTTCATTTCGTGGCTGTTACATGGGGTGCCGAGTTATGGAATAGAGACGCTGGCGCTCGGTCGCAATTCGCGATGCTTTCGAGTTACGGAGCCCAGGGCTGCTTCAGATGTAAGTCAACATCCAATACTTTTTTTTAATTTCTGCCTCTCACTTCGTACATAACCGTGATATTCTTTCAGTGGTGCCAAAACAAAACCGCTCCATCTTGGCTTCACTCAGTTTGGCCGGATACAAACAAGACAATGTGGACCATGATTCGAGAACTTACCCATTATTACTGGAGATGGCAGAGGGGGACAGATGAGTTAAGGAAGCTTTGGGGAGGAGGTATCACTTTTCTTCTCTGAGTCCCAAAGTGCTTGCTAAATGTGTAGGGTAGTTTCCAGTTATGTCTAGAGTGCGTGGTGTCAAATACAGCTTCTTATGTAAATTATAAGTGTCTTTTTTATTTTATTTTATTATTTATCTATTTTTATGCTTTAGATTTTGTGGAATTAAAAATGCCTTTTGTTTTGTGTTGAGATCACGATTTTTTCAGTTGCAATTCACTAAGGAAATGCGATAATTATTAATTATTATGAAAACGATTTACTATGCATTTGATTAACTTAATGTAAGTACGTACATTATTGTAGTATCTCTGATTGTGCATGCACTGGTGTGTAAATATTATACATATGTACCAACTATTAGAAAAGCACCGAAAAAGCTTTTGGCTCTTTTTCTATGAAGGTTGAACATGTACCCGGTATCTAAAAATGTTCTGAAAATTGGTTTGTGTTTTCACCAAGGTTTTGACATTGTTTTTGGTTAGGTGGGAAAATACTCTCCGAGTTCGTAGGCAATATGCAAAAGAAAATCTCAGCTGGGCCGTCCAATACTTCCGTTCCCAAGATGTTTATGTATTCAGGTGTAGGTATCGACACTTAATCTGCACAAAAATCAATGCATTTGTATTGTTAATTTTGCTTTCCTTTTTTTTAACTTGAAACTCAGGTGTAGCATGTAATGTATTGCATGATGCACAACCCATGATATATTCAGTGTTGTTTGTCAAATAAATTATTGTCTACTTATAAGATTATTTGCCCAGTATTTTGAGAATTGTTTCTATGTTCAGTATTTAAAGATAAAACAAAAGCATAAAATTCAATTTAGTGAACGTTAGCCTTAAATCACTTGATGCCATTTATTCACAATTTAAGTCTCTCTTGCAGCATGATAGTACAGTGGCGCCTCTATTGGCAGCCATGAATGTCTTCAATAACGTCTCGCCACCCTATGCAGCATGTGTGATAGTGGAGCTACACCAGGACCCGGTCACGGGAGGTCACTGGGTGCAGGTGCTCTACAGGAATCTCTCACGTGACCCTGGGTCCATGAATACACACCCAGAACCATATGAACTCTCCATTCCAGGTAAAACATCGACTGGACGAGGGAGAGGGGGGGGGGGGGGAAAGAGGGTGAGGGCTAGATGGAAGAGCATTCCCATTAAGTATAGCTTAAATCTGGAGGATGTTTTATCAGATTAGGACACACCTAAAACAAACCCCTCTTTAAGACCTCGAGTTTTCAATTCAGCGGTTAAAAAATTTGGTTAACGTTTAGTTTCCCGATGATGCATCTTTTCTTTATACAACCACAACCATGTTTATTCAGTTCTTCCCCCTTAAGTTAAACCATTTTCATAATTAATAGTCAATAAAATGTTTTCGTGTTCTATTTTTGTACATTTTAGTCTCTTGCATAATTGTTATAGAATGCAGTTAATATATTACAGGGTATATATGACCTTGTCGAGGCCTTTTGAAATTGTCTTACTCGTTAATTAAAGCCAATAAATATCTGTAATCCTAAATTGCAACATGTAGAATAAGTTTGTACTTAGTTCAAAATCCTGTCAATTTGTGAATTTAAGAAAATATTTGCTAAATCTCTACATAGCTTAATTGTTCACATTTAAATTAAATTACATGTACTTCTGGACAGAGATAAAAGATCAACTCATGTGTGTGACTATTGATGTCAGAAAACCATGAACAGCAATGCAACTTTGGAAGAAAACTGATAATTTTGTTTTTCAGGATGTAAGTTTAAATGTCCATTTGACAGATTTCTCAGCCTTAATGCAGATGTTTTGATGACAGGAGCTGAATGGACAGAAGCCTGTAGTATTACCACTGCTAAAGGTATCATTTTCTCCCTGTCGCACGCAAACAATTCATAGCCTCTATATTCATCAACATTCGAATTCTTTTTCTTCACAATTCCATTAGTTCTGCCAGTGCTTTTTATTTAACCATTTTACTTATTTGAAGTCTTTAAGTATCCTTTGCTCTTTAATATCTTTAATTTATTGCTTTCGTTTATCTTTTATTTTCTGATACTGTGCATATTGACTTCATCATGCTTTAAATAGCTTATTGAATTAAGTTATGTGAATAAATTCATAAGATTTAATATAATTTTTTATTTCCTTTCAGAGAGAGCTCTCAAAATAGTAGCAATAGTCGCTATACCAGCCCTGGTTATAGTGTTAGTTATCTGTGCATTGATATTTTATTCTAGAAGAAAAAGAGCAAAACAAGATTTCACTTCACAACCCCTTCTTTCCCTTGAAGATGAAGACGAAGAAGAGTTGTGATTTTTTTATTTACAAATTGGATAATTATCGATAAACATTCTGTATTTGATTAAAATTTATATTTTAAATAATTTGCTATTGTTTCTTTTTTTTCATATCGCGTTGCGTAATCGACTTTTAGTGAACATACCCCAAATCCACACACGTTTCCTTATATTACAATTAAATACAACGAATTTGCAAAATTGAACTACGTAGATAGGTGATAAATTATTTATTACTTACATGTATACACAATTGCGCACCTATTCCACGCAAAGAATTATGCATTAACAATTTTGATTACTTTTTCCCATATCTACTACAATGTATATCACAGAAAACGTCAGTCAGCATATTGATTATTAAAAAAAAAGCTAAGTGTCATTTTTCACCCATTCCTATCCCCATGATGTACAAATACTTTGGAGCGAATGGTTACGAGACCACATGCAGGCCACACAGACGGTTAAAAACGAAACCACCCAGGAAGATACCTTTCGTGAGGACCCTTGTCCCTATGAAACTGAGGGAAGAGAAAAAGCTGCATCAATTGCTTTGTGTAATGGCTGGCTGGTATCAAGATTCACTTCAACTGTGACATTTTATGTGTCCTGGATGGTGACTGCTGTTACGGGATTACAGAAAATACCAAAGTGTGTGTCTCCAGGATAAAAATGTCGAACGATTCCACACTTCCTACAACAATCCTTGCATCGAACTTAACAGAAAGTCAGAGTAATAACACCATTTTGTCGCATGCCAAACAAATCTTCCTCTTGAAAAGGCAGAAAAAAGAATAAATCGACCCTATGGATATTTCTTTGGCATATGCATGTATAATCTCATTCATAACCGTCCATCACTGAAAAACAACTACCACAAGCGAAACCTAATAAAGACGATAATTGCTTGAAATATTGGATGGTGGACCAATGGCCTCCGTCGTGGCCAGAAGAAAAAATCGCTAACAAGTGCTCCGATGCTTCAGATACCAGCCTCTCGGAGGATGTGCACTTGCACCAGCCGGTCACCGACCCAGATACGTGCTTTTTTCGTATACGCCCAGGATAGTTCCCAAACTGCACTTCGATAAACCGCACATCGCAGCTACAGAATGTACATGTACGTCCCACTGCCTAAGATTCCGTCTACGAATAAAATATATCATGACGGTCCAAAGTCAGAGATGCATTCCTTTGGTTTCCGAGGAACTCGTGATCTGTATGGTGATAAGAAGCACTTGTGTTTGCTTTATTAACACGAAACTACTTAGAAAATCCATGTTAATAGAGTGCACATTTGTCCTAGAATTTGAACGAATTATATGGCTATACTGGTAGATGGCTCAAATTAAGGTATTTCGGTGAATGTTGTTTCGTTAGGCCCACAAACTTTGTTAAAATGACACCTTTGGTGCGCAAGTTTGAAATTTTGTGTTACGCGAGAAGGCACAATTAAAGTAAAAAATCGGAATAACTGAGGAGCGAAACGCGTGATGTTACGTTAGTGTTAATACATTATGTAACAAGAAGAGATCAAGTGAACCTTATTATTGTTTTCATTACTGCTTTCCACGGCAGTTAACTTCTAATGAAGCATTCCTACACGAAACAATCATTGCATGCGATGTTTTGCCAGTTAATCAGTTTTTTTGGATATATCTTTTTAGAGTTCAAAATTTAGAACTACTGAATCGGATTTAATTATAAAATTGAAAAATTTGGTCCTAAAATACTAACTTGTTTTTATATCAGTTTCTTAGGTTTCATTTAGTCGAGTTCATTTTTTTTTTCAAAAGGGTTTCATTGCTTCTCTCATATACATATGATAAAAAATCCAAAATGGCCGCCAATTTGTGAAATTCTGTAGAAATATATACATACCTATGTTAATTTTTTATCAAAGAAAGTATTTTCTCAATGTTTTCCACATCCTTTTTACCCACATTATGCATATATGTCAGATAACAAATGAGTGTCCTTGGACTTTTTGAAAAATCCAAGATGGCCGCCGTATGGCATAGGAATACTAGAACATGTACATGTACAAGGGTTTTCAACTAATGCCAACTAGGAAGATGCATTGCCCAATATCTATATAATTTTGTTTCTGAGTGCCTTATTACACAAATAATATATTTGTGGTGAGTAACTAACCTTTATTCTCAGGCATTTCGAGAAAAATCCAAGATGGCCACCATATCAAAGGAAAACTACTAGACACATAGGGATTCTTCTGCCATGGAGATATAATATTAAATGATAAATTAGGTTTGTTTGTTTTTTTTTTATTAATTTCCACATCTTTTTAATCTACAAAATATTTATGTGATGAGAATTTTATGTGTATCCTTTCTGAAAACAAAACAAAACAAAATGGCTTCCATTAGCCATAGAAGGTGGGGTTCAGTTAATACCTGCATGAGATAGGCTTCCATATAAAATGAAGCTAAATTCAGTTGTTTTTCTGTTATTATTATTATTATTATTATTATTATTATTATTATTATTATTATTATCCCATGATACATATCTGTTAGGTAATTTATGTCCATATTTGATCATTTTGGGGGAATCCAAGATGGCCTTCTTTTCCCCATAGGAAAACTGGTGCATTGGATTTTATAGGCACTTCTAAGGCAAATGAGGGAAAACATGACATTTTGTCAAAATACTTAAGGGTACACACTTGTTACCCACCAGATAGATATCTCAAAGTCCAAAAAAAAATGTGGGAAATACCAAGAATCAAAATTCATTTTATATTGAACCCACTGCCTCTCTGGCAGTAGTAGACTGTATACTATTCCTATTATGAATTGCAGCAATCTTGAATTTTCTAAAAATACGCAAGAGGCACACTTGCTACACACCAGGGCCCGGTTTCATCAAGGCTGGATAGGTTAACACTATGTGGATAACACTATCCATGGTATAAATCTCTTATCCTCTGTATAGTTATCCTCTGTATAAATTTGTGTTTCACAAAGGCTGGATAAACAGCATGATAGTAATCCAGTGGATAAATATTTATCCAATACCATATTTGGAAAAAGACATTCCCATAATGCAGTTGGTTGCTATAAACATTATAAAAGCCATGATAGTTGCTAACAAAAAAGTGATCTTTACCATATTTGGAAAATAAATTACCCATAATAAACAATATTCTAAGTATATTTCAAGATGCTACATTCATTAAAATAATGGGGAAAATATCTACAGGATATTTTAGTGTCAGTGTCAAAAACACATCACATTGCATTAGTTGTGCCTCATGCAATGTTTACAATGTGCAGTTGAAGGGCAAGGTCGTGACATTCTTACTAACAAAATGGCTGACTTAGCACGTTTGGCAGATTCTGTCAAAAGCAGTGTAGAATTTTTTCGTCGATTTGAAAGGTATGTTTTAGTAAAATAAAAGATAATTGGTCTCTCACGGAGATTGCATGGGTTCTGTTCGTAGCAGGCACGATGTCAACTTTGATAAAGTCTGTTATGTAATCTATTGATTCAGTATCACTTAAAGCATCAAAAGCAAACACATCTTCTAAAATTCTCTTTCTTATCATTCTACGCCTGTGAATCATCATAAGATTTACTCCTAAAGCAAGCAGGTTCGCCATTTTTGATGATTTAACAGCATGATAGCAGATTTATCCCACCTATTTCGAGCGGACAACTTTATCCTCTGGATAAGCTGGTTTATCCCCTGGATAGCGCTATCCACTGTTGATGAAACGCACTTTCCTCTGGATAGCTCTATCCAGAGGATAGCGGCCATTTTTATCCATAGGATAGCACTATCCAGCCTTGATGAAACCGGGCCCAGATTTATATAGAGTAAGGTTAATTAGGATGTCAACATGTTTAAACATCAAACAGCTTTTTTTTTCATGTTGGAATCAATCGCTGAACTGTTCCATTAATTGACACCTATGACAATGTGCATTTGAATGATATATTCCTATGACAACTGGCAGCTATCTTGGGTTTTCTCCGAATAGTACTCAAGGATACACTTTCTACAAACACACAGTTTTTTATAAGGATAAATAGGATATGAAAAACATTAAAAAACGATCTAAAGTTAACTACATTTAAATTGTACTCAGTATATCTCTGGCATTATTTGATTATGTGTACGAATATTCTAATGACAAAGGGCAGACATCTTGATTTTTTTTTTTCTGAATACCCAAAGATACGTGCTACAGACCAGGTTTACATCATAGGGGTAATAATAAATGGAATGAAAAACATAAATTATTTTTAAAACAAACCCTTGGTAATGTAATTGTATAATGGACCATATGCCTCTCTAGCAGCAATGGAAACCCACCCATTAGTATTCCTATGTCAAATTGTAGCTATCTTGGATTTTCTCAGAATATCCAAGGATGCACACTATTTACCCACCAGATATATATCATAGGACTAATAAGGATGGGCAAAACTTGATAAGCAAACACAATTTCACCCTGGTAGTGGATGAAAAGCCATGGATGTGCAGTTGTAATTCCAGTAGTATTCCTATGGCCAATGACGGCCATCTTGGATTTTCTCAAAATGATCAAATATGCACATTTATTACCTGCTAGATATGTATCACAGTGTAATCATCATCATCATCATTGCTCTTCGTCCCGCGTGGGACATAAGGCCACAGTCACTTCTTTCCACTTGGCCCTGTCTCTGGAACTAATACACTGAAAAAATAAACTGAATTTGATAGTGAATTATGTTTTTCCTAGCTGGCATTAGTTCCAACCCTTTGTAATACTAGAAGTTTTCCTATGACATATGGCGGCCATCTTGGATTTTCTAAAAATGCCCAAGAATAATTGTTTGTTACTCACCACATACATATTGTGTGGGTGGAAAGGATGTGGAAAACACTCAGAAACAAACTTAATTTGATAGTGGAAAATTAATCTTTCCAGTTGCCATTAGTTGAATTGGCCGTATACTAGAATTCCTGTGGCACATGGCAGCCATCTTGAATTTTCCAAAATGCCCAAGAACACTTTGTAGTTACTCACCACAAACATGTTATGTGGGTAACAAAAATCTGAGAAACAGGCTTTATT